CCCGCCTGCTAAAAAAAATCTTCACTTCTGTCTGTAAATAAAAGTTTTTCCTAAGCTTTAATAATTTGTCTGGACAGCTTTGTGGCAGCTTTTATTTTGGAACACTTTTTAAGGACCTATAAAAAACTTTATGGAACTGAGCTTCTGGATGCCGTTCTCTCGATTAACATACACAGCTTATCTTGTACACTTTTCACTAATTGATGTTATCATGGGTGAAGAGAGAACTGTATACCATTACGTGAATATGACGCAAGCGGTAAGTCCAGTTTTGACGTCGTATAAAGTACCTGACAGTTTGAGTCTTAAAAAATTTGAGAATATTTAAATTATTAGCTGTATATTTTGAAATACTATATTTTATTATCAATGGGATTTGCAAAGATAAAAGGTTTTATGGTATAAAAATTTTCAGTATATTCACGGCTCATTACCTGTTATAGTCGTGACTTTTGTTCTTGCATTTGTGTGGAGTTGCGCGTTTGAAATACCGTTTGGTAAACTTGAAAAGATGGCTACAGCCGCGCTTGTTAAAGGAAGACTTCAGCGCCCCCCTGTCACTAAAATTTCAAATGATATTTATGAAAATGTACATAGTCGGGAGAGTTCAAACGACCCAAAAAGTGATTCGACCGAATATACACAGTTGTAGTCTATCTGTTTTATTGTAGCTGCCATTGATTATTTTTTTTTCTGTCAATACAATGTAAATTTTTTCATACTTATGTACAGCAACTTATACAGTTTTAAACAGTTACTTTAAAAAAAGTAAGAAAATAAAGATCTGAGAATTAGCTGTTTATAATTTAAAATATGTAAATAAAAAATTCTAACTTTTTTTGTAGTTTGATTACAAAACCACCAGATGGTGCCAAAGAAGCAACGTACATATTTTTCTGTCTGCAGAGAAGCACTGATAATCCACACTAATACTTCCGTCTCAATGTAATTGTGTGAAAAACGCCAAAATTCTTTCGTTAACTGACAGACCAACGTAATGCGCCATTAGAGATGCTAACGATTAAATTCTTGGGTTTTATACAGTCTCTGTTAGAAAGAAAAACAAATAGTTTTGATTTCTTACCTCAAAAACGACCAAGGTTTTTAAACACTCAAATGTCAAGCTTTCGCCGTTCTATTGGTCTGATTTAAAAATTGGGAGTTTTTTTGCAACAATTTTGAATTGCATTATTTTTATAATAAGATTTCAATCATGTGAAGAACAGCGCACAAGATACCGTTTTCTATACATTTTGCGAAACAAAAATCAAAGAAACTGCAGAAGAAGAAAGCTAGCCATCCAGCGATTTGAAACTCTCTTCTACACTTTTTTTTTTTTTTTAAGACTGATCTTTTAACAGTGTCGTCATTTTTTTGTGCTACTCTTCAATTAATTTCTCAAAGAACATCTGTTATTAATCCCAATTAATGTCTGCTAGTCACAGTAATTACCAGATTTTTGCAATATCTATCCTCTAAGTGCATATCAAATGTAACCAATACTGTGAGTTTCAAATTTAATATTTCACTTAAAAAAGCTCAATTAGAGCCTTTTCACCAATAAGCTTAGAGTTAAAAAATTGGCTCGAGATTTATTTGAGTCAGTCAGGAAAACTTTAATTTTTTTGTTCTCTTTTTGATTTTAATTCTGTTTTTAAGAAGTTTTTTTGATATTTTTCTTTACGAGCGTGTTATTCTGGATTTGTTGATTCGGATTATAACAAAATAAGCCGGTCAAAAAGTCACTGTTAAAGGTATCGACGGTTTTTGTTTTACAACATTTTTCCTTGAAGGGCAAAGAAACTCAAGGAGTCTCTTGCACTTTTAAAGCGGAAATTTGTCACTGTTGCAAAAAGCGAAGGGGTAATAGTTTTCACGGCGCGAACTCTGATCTGCCATCAAGGGGAAGCTCTGGGGAGGGAGACAGATAGGCGATATCAAGTCAGGCAGCTACAAAGAAAGAAAAGTTAGAGTATAGAGAATCTTTGGATCAAAGAATCATTTGGACTTTTTTATAAATTTTAGATACTCTCGAAGTACCTGTTGTCTCGACATTTCTTGTTCATCTAGGCTGTTTGTGCTTGACCTTATCAGTTGTGGTCATTGATATTCGTAGGATTAGTTTCTTTTAATTAGTGAGGCGATTTGAACAAAGGAAGGATCAAGAGAAATACGGTTTTTTGGGTGGCCGAAAAATCTGCTGCTAACGTACTCATTTCGATAGATTCACAACTGCATTCCGTTCTGAGACTAGTGTATGACACTTACCAAATTTGTTTTTCGATTTCGTTTTAAAAGACATGTTTGGAGGCTGCAGTCCTAATAATGCCCCAGTTGGCAAAGGCTTGCCATACCTCCCTTTCTATCTGTACTAGAACGGAGGATTGATCTAGTGCAACTTAAATTTAAACGTTGTTAATATTAAAGATTGTAAGGAAGTTAACTTGCAATTAAGTATCCTCAGAAACGTCAGTCGGGCTCAATTTTGAGACAGGTCCTCTTATAATATTCTTGCTCCAGTCTAAATAACTTTTGTCCTACGACTTGAAATGGCGGGATCATTGTGTCATTCGCTGGTAATACTTTTACAGCTACTTTCTAATCTCCTGGCTGTAGACTGAGCTCTATCCTTGTAAGAAAGAGAACACACGATTGGGACTCTTGATCATATCAAGAACAGAGAGACTGTAAAGCAACAGACTTTTGACTTGATGCAACTAGTTGATTTTAATAGCCTTCTTTTTATCTAGAAAAATGTTATTACACATTCTTATGTTTCCGGTAATCGTTTACCTCAATCGTCTAGGATAATTTTCTATGCAAAAGGTTTTTTTGTGGGAGCTTAGCTCTTTTTGCTGTGAGGTTTTACAGAACAGTATCCAAAAAAAATTCTAGCTGCAATTTGCAGACCAATTTAAAGTAGTGCTTACAAGGCTGCTTTTTGCTCGCAAGCAGTCATGTGATATTCAGTGAAAGAATCCATTTTAAACTCGGATCACGGTGTTTGGCAAGGCATAGTTTAAAAACTAACCTACATTTTCTCAGTATTCAACTAGAAAAATCTCTTTAAATTTCTAGTTTCTCCTTACTTTAGAATAGCCCTTCCGAAAGTGTCATTGCTGCTTTGAAACTACAAGATTTACAGTTGCGACGATCTACGTCTACAAACCTCACTGCCTAAGCCACCAAAACAATTTTTTTTAATAACCAGACTCTTAAGGCTTCATAATTTCGCAACCATTCTTTTGGATCTCCTCTGTCGTTGCAGCATGCCTAATAAGGTTTGCGTTTGACTTCCGAACCCACTTTCGACATTCATTGCGATCTTTGGCAGTTAAAACTGCGTGGCTTCTATTCAACAGAACGCCTACATAAAAAACTGTAAAGAAAGTGT